AATGCAAAGTTCAAAATATTCCAATTTCAAAATAGGGTCCAGAATAAACAATGCAGGCATTCCTAGCACTAAACACATTTCCTCTGTTTATTAGTTATGTTTCCATTCTATCAAATGAGACCAAGAAATCGCAAATACAACTATAAAAAACATACGAAAAAACTGCAAAGTATGTTTTAATCGAAAAATACGGTCCGTTTTTTCTCTCGTTATGCACGGTGTGCTGCAGGATCTGTTTTATGTGGTGCACACATACCACATAGATGTATTCTCTCGTATCTAGGCCCAAATTTACCGCTCACAGCTTATCAGAGTGAGCTGAGCTCATGGCGTAGATCTACGATTTGGACCCTCAACGTAAAGCCGTAGATCTGCAGCACGGACCCTGAAAGGATTAAAGCTATGTATGGAATTTGCCTCCACTACCACTCTCCAGATTATTTCACTTTCTGACAACTGTAAGGCTAAAGAAATACTTCCTAATATCCCTATGACTCATCTGGGTTTTCAACTTCCAATTGTGGCCCCTTGTTACTGTATCCCATCTCCAAAGCATTTGAGCCATGCTCACCTTGTCCATTCCACTCAGTATTTTGTGTGTCGTTATCATATCCCCCTATCTGCTAGTGTCAACAGGTTGAGTTCCTTTAATCTCTCCTCGGGACTAATCTTGTTGCAAACTTTTGCACTTTCTCCAGGGTCTTGACATGTTTGACTAAGTGTGGGTGCCATACTAGTGCTGCATACTCCAGTATGGGCCTGATGTACAATGTCGTGAATGATTCCTTACTCAGATATCGAAATGCTGTTCTCGGGTTTGCCAAGTGCCCATGTGCTCCAGCAGTTATTTGATTGATGTGTGACTCGGGGGAGATGGTCGCTATAAAGCCTAACTCGAGAATCTTTTTTAAAGTGACATTTGCAGCCTTTGATCCCCTAACCTGTACTTCATCTGCTGCGGTCTTCTTTGTTCTTCCCTTATCTTCATGACTTTGCACTTACTGGGGTTAAACTCCAGGAGCCATTTGTTGGACCAGATTTGTAGTCTGTCCAGATCCCCTTGTAATCTTAGCTGATCCTCACCTGCTTGTATTCTCCTTGTTAATTTCACATCAGCGAACACTGACACCTCTGAATCTATTCCTTCCACTGTGTCATTCACGTATACAAGAAACAGCATCGAACCTAGGACTGACCCTTGTGGAATCCCACTCGACACGTGTGCCCAATCTGACACTTCATGACATAGCAACACTTGTTTCCTTCCTGTCAGGTATTCCCTGAACCATTGCAGTACTTTCCCTACTATTCCTGCCTGCTCTAATTTTTGTACCACTCTTGTGTGATACTGTCAAGTCTTCTTGCAGTCCAAAACGATGCAATCTACCCATCCCTCTCTCTCCTGTCTTACTTCTTACCTTATCGTAGAACTAAAGTAGATTTATGAAACATGATTTCCCATCTGAAGCTGTGCTGTCATATTCATATATGACAGCATGGCTTCAGAGATGGGAAATCCTTTTAATGTAATCCACTTCTGATCATCTTTTCCGTAACTTTACATACTGCACAAGTCAGTGCCTATCTACTTTCTTAAAAATTGGAACTACATTTGCTGTCTTCCATGCCTCAGGTATTTGCCCAGTTTTGATAGTTATTGAAAATTGCTACTAGCAGCACACCCCTCAAGGAAGGTTCCTTGATGTTGATGAGGGGCTCTTGATTTAGGGAATTGGATCTGTGCTCCAGTTCCCCGAATTAAGCCTGAATGCCTTCCACATCCCCCCCCAGGTGCTGTATAATCCTCCGGGTTTAGCGCTTCCCCCTTGATAATAATAATACTAGCAGCACACACAGTTCCTCTGCTTCCTCTCTCAACATCCATGAAGATATATTATCCATTATCTGTTGTGTGTGTACTCAACTAGTTGAGGTTGCAGGGGTCGAGTCCAAGCTCCTGGCTTATGGGGTGTGTGTGTGTGTGTGTGTGTGTGTGTGTGTGTAAAGGTAGAAAGTTGAAAGTGAACATAGAAAAGAGTAAGGTGATGAGGGTATCAAATGATTTAGATAAAGAAAAATTGGATATCAAATTGGGGAGGAGTAGTATGGAAGAAGTGAATGTTTTCAGATACTTGGGAGTTGACGTGTCGGCGGATGGATTTATGAAGGATGAGGTTAATCATAGAATTGATGAGGGAAAAAAGGTGAGTGGTGCGTTGAGGTATATGTGGAGTCAAAAAACGTTATCTATGGAGGCAAAGAAGGGAATGTATGAAAGTATAGTAGTACCAACACTCTTATATGGATGTGAAGCTTGGGTGGTAAATGCAGCAGCGAGGAGACGGTTGGAGGCAGTGGAGATGTCCTGTCTAAGGGCAATGTGTGGTGTAAATATTATGCAGAAAATTCGGAGTGTGGAAATTAGGAGAAGGTGTGGAGTTAATAAAACCATTAGTCAGAGGGCCAGAAGAGGGGTTGTTGAGGTGGTTTGGTCATTTAGAGAGAATGGATCAAAGTAGAATGACATGGAAAGCATATAAATCTATAGGGGAAGGAAAGAGGGGTAGGGGTCGTCCTCGAAAGGGTTGGAAAGAGGGGGTAAAGGAGGTTTTGTGGGTGAGGGGCTTGGACTTCCAGCAAGCGTGCATGAGCGTGTTAGATAGTAGTGAATGGAGACGAATGATACTTGGGACCTGACGATCTGTTGGAGTGTGAGCAGGGTAATATTTAGTGAAGGGATTCAGGGAAACCGGTTATTTTCATATAGTCGGACTTGAGTCCTGGAAATGGGAAGTACAATGCCTGCACTTTAAAGGAGGGGTTTGGGATATTGGCAGTTTGGAGGGATATGTTGTGTATCTCTATACGTATATGCTTCTAAACTGTTATATTCTGAGCACCTCTGCAAAAGCAGTGATAATGTGTGAGTGTGGTGAAAGTGTTGAATGATGATGAAAGTATTTTCTTTTTGGGGATTTTCTTTCTTTTTTTTGGGTCACCCTGCCTCGGTGGGAGACGACCGACTTGTTTTTTGACTCCACGTATACCTCAACGCACCACTCACCTTTTTTCCCCTCATCAATTCTATGATTAACCTCATCCTTCATAAATCCATCCGCCGACACGTCAACTCCCAAGTATCTGAAAACATTCACTTCTTCCATACTCCTCCTCCCCAATTTGATATCCAATTTTTCTTTATCTAAATCATTTGATACCCTCATCACCTTACTCTTTTCTATATATATATATATATATATATATATATATATATATATATATATATATATATATATATGTATATATATATATATATATATATATATATATATATATATATTATATTATATATATATTATATATATATATATATATATATGCATGCATGTGTGGGGTGTGTACACTCACCTGGTTGTACTCATCCAGTTGAGGTTGCAGGCGTCGAGTCCAAGCTCCTGGCCCCGCCTCTTCACTGGTCGCTACTAGGTCACTCTCCCTGAACCGTGAGCTTTATCATACCTCTGCTTAAAGCTATGTATGGATCCTGCCTCCAATACATTGCTTCCCAAACTATTCCACTTCCTGACTACTCTGTGGCTGAAGAAATACTTCCTAACGTCCCTGTGATTCATCTGTGTCTTCAACTTCCAACTGTGTCCCCTTGTTGCCGTGTCCCATCTCTGGAACATCTTGTCTTTGTCCACCTTGTCAATTCCTCTCAGTATTTTGTATATCGTTTTCATGTGTGTTTTTGTGGGGGGTGTACTTGCCTAATTGTGGTTGCAGTGGTCAAGACTCAGCTCCTGGCCCCGCCTCTTCACCAACTGCTACTAGGTCCTCTCTCCCCCTGCTCCATGAGCTTTATCATACCTCGTCTTAAAACTATGTATAGTTCCTTCCTCCACTACATCGCTTGCCAGACTATTCCACTTCCTAACTACTCTGACTGAAGAAATACTTCCTAACATCCCTTTGACTTGTCTGAGTCTTCAGCTTCCAATTGTGACCCCTTGTTTCTGTGTCCCATCTCTGTCCACCTTGTCTATTCCATGCAGTATTTTGTATGTTGTTATCATGTCTCCCCTGACCCTCCTGTCCCCCAGTGTTGTCAGGCCGATTTCCCTTAACCTTTCTTCATAGGACATTCCCCTTAGTTCTGGAACTAGCCTTGCTGCAAACCTTTGCACTTTCTCTAATTTCTTGACGTGTTTGACCAGATGTGGGTTCCAAACTGGTGCTTCATACTCCAGTATGGCCTGACATACACAGTGTATAAAGTCTTGAACGATTCCTTACTGAGGTACCGGAAAGCTATTCTCAGGTTTGCCAAGCGCCCATATCCCACAGCAGTTATCTGGTTAATGTGTGCTTCTGGCAATGTACTCGGTATTATACTCACTCCTAGGTCTTTCTCCTTGAGTGAGGTTTGCAGCCTTTGGCCTCCTAGCCTATACTCTGTCTGCAGTCTTCTTTGCCCTCCTCTGATCTTCATGACTGTGTGTGTGTGTATTAATCAAGAGGGCTGAAGAAAGGTTGTGGTGGTTTGGTCATTTAGAGAAGACATAACAAAGTAGAATGACTTGGAGAGCGTTTAAATCTGTAGTGGAAGGAAGGTGGGGTTGGGGTCATCCTTTGAAATGTTGAAGGTAAAGGAGTTTTTGTGAGCAAGGGGCTTAGACTTCCAGCAAGTATGCATGAGTGAATATAGACTAATGGTTTTGGGGGACCTGATGAGCTGCTGGAGTGTGAGCAGGGTAATATTTTGTGAAGGGATTCAGGGAAACTGGTTAGCCAGGCTTGAGTCCTGAAAGTGAGAAGTACAATGCCTGCACTTTAAAGGGGATTTTTGGGATACTGGCTGTTTAGAGTGACATCTAAACTGTCGTATCTGAGTGCCTCTGCAAAGACAGTGATTATCTATGAATGATGGTGAAAGTGTTTCTTTTTTGAGTCACCCTGTCTCGGTGGGAGATGGCTGATGTGTTGGAAAAAAAAAAACATACATATAAAATTTATTTCTAAACGAAAAAATAAATTAAATGAAAATAGCCTCTTGAAAAAAAAATTATAAGCTTTAGAACTAAAACTGTTTTAAAAGTTGGGCAGCTGCATGAGAAGTCCACTTGGCTGTCTCCATCCATTATCAAAAAGTGGCAGAGTAAGACTAAACTACATAAATATGAAGAGGAAGATAGTGGAAGCATCTTATCTAACTTAGTCAACAAAGATATGGCAACAAAAATAAAGCTCAATCATACCTTAAATATTGTACATAAGAGTTTGATTTTGGCATCATCATATTGTCTATGAAGACATAGACTACCCAAAAGAGCAGTGAATGAAAACACTGCATACCAGATGAATACTAGATGTAGCTACATTACCTTCAAATGCATGACAATTTACCACTTCAAGTAACAAATATTCTCCTTTCATATTTCCCCTCTTACAATGATAAAACCTGAAGATAGAAATAAAAAATATAAGAACTATACCTAAGTATGTGGAAAGATGAAAAACGGTAAGAATTCATTTAAACTTCAACATAAATATCTTTTGTACACTACAACTGTCAAAATGATAAGCTGTACAGAAATCTTTTAGCAGATCACTCTTTCTATGGATTCTGTGGTTACTCATAATAGCTGTCATAACTACATGCCATATTGTTGGAATCTCGACTCCATATAATGCAAACGAGCCAGTTTCTATCCTAATTTGTGTGTGATCATAGGTCAATGCTAATTCTAGTAGAAAGCATACAAGCCCAGTGAAAGTATATAAAATCATGAAAGGCACAAATCAAAATTATACGAATGGACAAATAACTTTGTCACCGGGAAGAAATTCTTGAGACAAGATTAAATGTATTTTTAGTGTATGGCATTCATGTTTTCTCAAACCAACGGGTAGGTTCCTTACAATTTTTTTTTTTTTTTCCCCCCCCTCCTCTCTCTCTCTCTCTCTCTCTCTCCTGCACTCGTTAAGATTTAGTCATTTAATTTACTGAAATGCAATTCATAAAATACTTTTGACTAAGAATATTAAATATAAAATATTTTAACTGAGAAGAGGCCAAACCAATATATGATTTCAAGGTTAAAGGCAACAGTAAATCATATGAAGTGTAAAAAAAAGAACCAGCCATGAGTTATTGTAAAACAATACTGGTGATTCTGTAAGGAACAATGTTTGTTATCACATAAGCTCATCACTGCACAAAGGAGAGCTCTCTTCTGCATTATGAAGGAAGAGTGAATTATAACCTGCAATGATGAAGGTCCTCTCAGTCAAATCCTGACAAAAGAACCTTTTCAGCTATCAAAATACATTTTGTGAGGATGAGGTTTCAGTCTATAACAATGCATAAACATTAAGCAAGCTATCACTCCAATAAGGGTAATTCTTCTGCTTGCATCATCACATGGAGCTGTGGGTTATCTGATCGCATGAAAATAGTCACTCCAGACTGGTATGCAGCAGGGATGGCCACATGGGATGTCAAGTGCCTTCGTCCTTGAACCACAGGTGGTGCTGCCTGCTCCTTTAATACCCCAACTACCTGACCTAAAATGACAAATAAAATCATTAAAATATTGTTTACTGTAGGTCTTTAACATGCAGTAATTAGATTTAGCATTTTTTTGTGATAATACTTTAATCACATTCATTTAACCATACCTTTGACACATTCTATTTCTTCTTCGCCTTTCAACAAACTGGCCATATCCCACCGAGGCAGAGTGGCTCAAAAAGAAAAACAAAAAAAAGTTTATCTTTTTAACCCTTTGACTGTCGCAACCCCCAATCCTGAGGTGTCTCCTGGTGTTGCAAAATTTAAAAAAAAAAATTATTTTTTCTTATGAAATGATAGAGAATCTTTTCCCGATTGTAATGACACCAAAAAAAAAGAAATTTGATGGAAAATTGACGGAATTATGCTCTCGCGAAGTTAGGGACCTCGGCGCTGTTTACAAATCGGCGATTTCGCCCACTTTAGAGCCCCATTTTCGGCTAATTCCATTGTTCCAGTCGCCCAAACTCATAGCTATTTCTTTAGAACTCCATTTTTTCTATCAACTGAGTACAAGAAACTGCCCATTTACCGATTTCAACTACCTAATAATGTGGTCAGAAATTTGCAATTTGGCCAATTTCACGCAAACTACAAAATACAGTGGACCCCCGCATAGCGACCTTAATCCGTGCAAGAGGGCTGGTTGTTATGCGAAATGTTCGGTATGCGAATGAATTTTCCCCATAAGAAATAATGGAAATCAAATTAATCCGTGCAAGACACCCAAAAATATGAAAAAAAAATTTTACCACATGAAATATACATTTTCTTACACACAAAGAGAAGGATACATGCACAATAGTAGAGTAGTACATGCACAATATATATTGTGCATGTACTACTCTACTAAATGAAGAATAAATGACACTTACCTTTATTGAAGATGCAGCAATGACTGATGAGACACTGTGTCCTGGGAGTGCCTTTTCCTCCTGAGTACTGTAGGTCCTGTTTGGTATTTTCTTCCAGAACATGCCTTATCACACTGTGTATGTCACTACGATTCTTAAATCTCTCAAACCAACCTTTGCTGGCTTTAAATTCACCAATATGAGCACTAGTTCCAGGCATTTTTCCCTGTTCACCTGGGTGTTAGTCGACTGGTGTGGGTTGCATCCTGGGAGACAAGATTAAGGACCCCAATGGAAATAAGTTAGACAGTCTTCGATGACACTGACTTTTTTGGGTTATCCTGGGTGGAAAATCCTCTGGGGTTAATTGTTTCTTGGCATTCTCAATAAGCCACACCAACAACGGTGGTACAGCAGCAGCAGCAGCTGACGGTGGTACAGCAGCAACAGACGATGCTACAGCAGCAACTGACGATGTTACAGCAGCAGCAGACGATGCTACAGCAGCAGCAGCAGCAGACGATGCTACAGCAGCAGCAGCAGCTGACGGTGGTACAGCAGCAACAGACGATGCTACAGCAGCAACAGACGATGCTACAGCAGCAGCAGACGATGCTACAGCAGCAGCAGACGATGCTACAGCAGCAGCAGACGATGCTACAGCAGCAGCAGACGATGCTACAGCAGCAGCAGACGGTACTACAGCAGCAGCAGACGGTACTACAGCAGCAGCAGCAGCTGACGGTGGTACAGCAGCAGCAGCTGACAGTGCAGCAGCAGCTGACGGTGGTACAGCAGCAACAGACGATGCTACAGCAGCAACTGACGATGTTACAGCAGCAGCAGACGATGCTACAGCAGCAGCAGACGATGCTACAGCAGCAGCAGCAGCTGACGGTGGTACAGCAGCAACAGACGATGCTACAGCAGCAACAGACGATGCTACAGCAGCAGCAGACGATGCTACAGCAGCAGCAGACGATGCTACAGCAGCAGCAGACGATGCTACAGCAGCAGCAGACGATGCTACAGCAGCAGCAGACGGTACTACAGCAGCAGCAGACGGTACTACAGCAGCAGCAGCAGCTGACGGTGGTACAGCAGCAGCAGCTGACAGTGCAGCAGCAGCTGACGGTGGTACAGTGCAGCAGCAGCTGACGGTGGTACAGCAGCAGCAGCAGCTGTACCACCAATAGTAGCGATGGTTGATTGGGGTTTATTATACAACCTGGCCAGCTCGGAGACACGCACTCCACTTTCATACTTATCAATGATCTTTTTCTTCATCTCCATAGTAATTCTCACCCTTATTGCTGTAGGGTTGGCACTAGAAGCTTTCTTGGGGCCCATTGTCACTTATTTTCCAGAAAAAATCACCAAAAACACTGTAATAATACGAAATGTTCCGATTGTATGCTTGGATGTTACTGCGGAGGCTGGCTGGTAAACAATGCCACCGGCGGAACATGTGAGCGTGGCTCAGGCCGCACATTGGACGCGTCTCGGATGAAGGGCGGTGAGCGGGTTTTTGGGCGGTATGCGAGGCAAAATTTTTGCGATCAAAGCGTCCGGTATGCGGATTGTACGGTATGCGATGCGTCCGGTATGCGGGGGTCCACTGTATGACAATTTCAAAATAAGGTCCAGAATGAACAATGCAGACATTCCTGGCTCTAAAATAACATTTTCTTTGCTCATCAGTCATGTCTCCAGGCCCCTCTGATATTACTCTTGCTTTCTATTTTGAATTTTTATTCAAACAAAAAATAAAGACTTACTATTATGCAAACTACTGCAATACTGTAATAATTGTATAAATAACATCAACCCATTCAAGACTGCATATTAGAATGGCTAGTTGGACATTTATTGGACAATGGCATCATTTGTTTACTTTTGAACATTGGCAAAAATCAAACATTTCCCCTACTTTGAGCTCCATTTCTAGGTTCTTTTTATAGTAAAATCAATCAAAATCATCTCCATTTCTATAATATGTTTTCCATTCTATCAAATGAGACCAAGAAAACGAGAATACAACCATAAATACTATACGAAAATAGACCACAAAATCAGCATTTTAATTAAAAAAACGGCTGGAGTTTTTTTTTCTCATTATGCACTGCGTGCTTCAGGATTTTTTTTATATGGTGCACACTGACCACACAGACCCATTCTCTCACATGTGGGCCTACCAGCTTTCTCCTGCTTGATTTGAAGCCGCTAGAATTTATGAGTATACATACGTCAAACACGGTATCTCGTAAGGCGTATATATGCGGCCGCGACAGTCAAAGGGTTAAATTTAGCAGGCATGTGTGAGCAGGTTATACAGGACTGAATGGAGATGAATGGTTTTTGGAACCTGAAGAGCTGGAGTGTGAGCAAGGTAATATTTTGTGAAGGGATTCAGAGAAACCAGTTAGCTGGACTTGAGTCCTGGAAGTGGGAAGTACAATGCCTGCACTTTAAAGGAGAGGTCTGAGATATTGGCTGTCTGGAGTGACATCTAAATTGTCATATCTGGGCACCTCTGCAAAGACAGTGACTGTGTGAATGATGGTGAAAGCATTTCTTTCTTTTTTTGGGTCACCTTGCCTTGGTGGGAGATGGCCGGCATATCGAGTCTCCATGGGGAAGTGGAACAGAATTCTTCCTCAGTAACCCATGCATGTCGTAAGAGGTGTCTAAAATCCCGGGAGAAAGGGGCTAGTAACCCCTTCTCCTGTATACATTACTAAATTTAAAAAGAGAAACTTTCGTTTTTCTTTTTAGATTACCCTGCCTCCACGTATGTCGTAAGAGGCGACTAAAATGCCAAGAGCATAGGGCTAGCAACCCGTTCTCCTGTATATATTATTAAATGTAAAAGAAGAAACTTTCATTTTTCCTTCTGGGCCACCCCGCCTTGGTGGGATACGACCAGTGCGTTGAAAGAAAAATTAACCTTCCTTAGTAGGATGTGGCCAGTTTGATGGGGGGGAAAAAATAAAGCCTGGTGAGCTAACCAGGTCAATTTTACAGTAGAATTATTACTGAAAGGGTTAGATTATTATTATAATCAAAAAGAAGCGCTAAGCCACAAGGGCTATACAGCGCTGCAGGGTAGGGAAGGAAGCGAGGGTATTGGGTGGCAGAAGGGAGGAGGGATGATCAGTAGGTTATAGAAAACAGCGGGGCAGGGGATAGTACGGGGGTAGAGGGTAGCAAGAGATTGAAGTAGAAAGGGCTGAAGGTATCAGAATTTGTGAAGTAAATCAGTTGTTGTCAAAAAGTCAATGAGAGAGTCCGGATGAAAGGTGGGTCCATCAGCGAGAAGGGAAGGTAAAGAGAGAGCAGCGGAGCGAAGACGACGACGGAGGTAAATTTTGCGTGCTCGTTGATAAAGTGGGCAGTCCAATAGAATGTGGCTGACTGATAATGGAGCTTGGCAATTCTCACAGAGAGGAGCAGGGCGCCTCTCCATGAGATATCCATGAGTAAGACGAGTATGGCCAATGCGAAGACGGGAGAGAGTAGTCTCCCAACCTCGACACTGGTGATAAGATGGCCAGTAACCTATACTCGGTTTAATAGATTGAAGTTTGTTGCCGAGCATAGTAGACCATGTTGTTGCCAACGGGTGTGAAGGTGGGAAGATATTGCAGCAAAATAGTCCGTAAATGGAATACCTCTATATGAAACTGGTAGGTCATGTACTGCTGACCTCGCAGCAGTGTCTGCCTGTTCATTGCCCTGTACGTCAACATGACCAGGGACCCAACAAAAAACAATATCTTTATGCTTGGTAAAGATGCAGTGTAGCCAAAGTTGGATACGGAGGACTAAGGGGTGAGGCGCATCATATTTCTGTATAGCCTGTAAAGCACTAAGGGAGTCCGAGACAACCACAAATGATGACACAGGCATAGATGCAATACGGATAAGTGCTGCAAGGATGGCATACAATTCAGCAGTAAAAATACTAGCCAAAGGTAGTAAATGCCCTCGTACGACGCTGTCCGGAAACACTGCTGCGAATCCTATGCCGTCAGAAGACTTAGAGCCATCTGTGTACACAGCAATGGCATGAGAATGAGAGTGGAAGTGGTCAAGAAAAAGAGAGCGGGAAGCGACCGTAGACAGTTGGGCTTTCGAGC